TGGAAGGTGCTGGTGCCCAGGCAAGGTGAGCGGGCCTCTGCCTGGAGGCTTCTGGCCCTCCGCGTGGTGTGCCCCGGGCCCCCTTTCACCTCCATGGGGGTCTTCACGGAAGAGGCACAGTTGTCACCACAACCCCATTACAGCTGCAGAGGCCAAGTCTCAGGGCCAGGCGAGCGCCCAGGCCCACTCCAGGTCAAGGCCTCTGTGAGCCCTGGGGTGCCGGCAGGCATCACTGTTCCTGGGCCCTGGCTGGGTCCCCAGTGTCCTCCGTCCTGTTGTGTTCAGCAGGGTGGTTCTTACCCAGAAGCTGGCTCTTGGCCTTTGAGTTCCTGCAGGGGCCCAGCACGTGTAGGGAGGGTGGACGGGGCCTGACCACCTTGCTGGCGATGCCTGCTGCCTCCCTGCCCGCGAAGGTGGCACTGCGGTCCTCAGCCTGTGAAGACAGCGCTCCCTGTGGGACGCCCTGTTCCCATGGCTTCCCTCCCCGCCTGCTCCCCTGAAGATGAGCCGGATGGAGAGCCCATGCCCCCGACTTTAGGGTGAACTCCTCCTGGTGAGAGTCAGGCCCTGTGTGGCCGCTCCACAGAGGGCCGTGCCCGTGATGGGGCAGATTCCCAGAAGCCCTTGCTCCCCTGTGTGACACCCCTTCTCCCAGTGGCCTCGAAGGCAGGAGGGAAAGTGGCCCACTCTCGATGTCAGGCCAGGGCGCGGAGCCTCGGAGAAAGGGCAGGATGGCAAGTGCACGAGCTTCCCCGACGCTCCGTCCACTGCTGCAGGACCCGTCGGACTTGCTGGCCCGACTCTGGCTTGCTGATGGTGCTGCGTCAGGAGTGGCCACCAGAGTCTGGTTTTAAGTGGCCCTTCCGCAGTTGTGTCATTTGTCCCAGTTCGCTAAGAATCGTCTGTGTCAGTTAGCTCTCGGTTCCTGTGACAAAGTACCTGAGAAGTTCAACTTCAGACGAGGAACAGCTCATTTTGGCTGAGTGTGTGAGAGGTTTCAGGCCACGGTTGCTTGGCCCTGTCGCTTTGTGTATAGGAAAAACGGTGCAGGTGGGTGGCACAGGAGGCAGCTGGTAAACAGAGAAGGGAAAGGGCCAGGGGTCCAACATGGGCGTGCCCCCAGTGACCACAGCAGCTTCAGGTCCCATGGCCTCCAGTAGCATCACCCTGAGGACTGAGCCTCTACCAAATGGCCCCTGGGTGATGCAGGGGCCCAACCAGAGCAGGACCAGAACAGCACCCTGGACAAAGGCCAGATTCTGTCCTGGCTCGGGGGGCTCACCTGGGTGTTGTGGTACGAGACTGTGCCGCTCAGGAGGTTCAGGTGGAGGAAGGAGCCGCTGCCCCGTCCCTCTTCCTGCTGCTGCTTTTCACTGGCCACCTGAGCTCCCCTCCCCATGGTGGCTCCAGCTCATGCACAGGTCTGTGGGCCGCTTGCCACCATGACCCTGTGTGAGGAAAGGGTCACTTCTTCCTGATTTCTGTGTGTGGCTTTTCCCACGCTGGCCTCCACTGACCTGCCTCCCGAGCTCCTGTGCCTCCTGTCTTCTCTGGCTTCCTGAGATGTCTCTGAGGAAGCAATATGTCCCCAGCCAGTCCCTCGGCCAGCCTCCCAGGCCCGTGAGCCCCCCTCATATGACACAGCAGTGACTTGTGGACCTGCTCTCTGCAGTCCGGCCTCTAGCTCAGCTGGACAGGGCCTTCCTCCCGGAGCCCTCCCTGGGTGACTGCTCGTAAGCTCGGTTCAGGTGGGTCTGGCTTGTGAGCCAAGGGGGTGTGGGGAGGCAAGGCCTCTGGGGCACGGCAGCCAGGTGACTCAGGACGTGCACAGAGCAGCAGTGAGTGGAGAACCTGGCGGCTCCCGGGGCAGATGCGGGCAGCCAGCTGTGTCCCCCGTGCCGCTTCGGCTGGGGGCTCTGGAGACCCTCTCACGTGTGTTGGAGGTCCCTGGGCTGCCTTTCGCTGCAGGAGTTGGGAACCCTTTCTTGAAACCCCAGAAGATCAGGCTTTAGGGTGGAGAGAGCTCTTCCAGGAAGGCTGGGGGCTGCCTTCCCTATCATTCACGCCCCCCCAAGTGGCCAGGTCCGGGCAGGGCCACCATGCTGTCCTAGAAGTCTGGCTCCTGGGAGTCGCCTCCTCCCCAGGGCCAGTGAGGGGCCTGGGCTGTCTGTTCAGGCCTGCTGTCAAGGAGCTGCCTGCTTTGAGAATCTCACAGACACATCAGCTTTGCTCTGTGTTCCAGGGAACTGTCCCCATGTCTCCTGTACGTTATCTCATGGCACGGTCCCTGAGCGGGCCTCTACTGTCCGTGGCAACAGGAAGTTCAACTGTGTTGCAATGTGGAGAGTGTTTTGACCCGTTTCTTAACGGGCTTGTTTTGTTATAGTCTTTGGTTTGGCTTACACCCAGGCATTGATTAAGAGAGACAAAGCCCATGTCTTTGATCCCATATTTGACCCATGTTCTTCCAACGCACGGCTGCTGGCATCCACAGAGGCGGCTGGGCCGGGCCTGTACCTTCCTCACACCTGCTGCCCTCACACCTGTGCAAACAGCCTGCTCTGGGAAAGCAAGAACCGGGAATTCCCTGGAATCCAGGTGGGCTTTCCAAAGTTAAAGTTGCTCAAGGCCCAATTGATTTCATTGTAAACCTGGCCAAGTGCTTTCCATCCTGAATCACTTTGAAGACCCTCAATGAAGTTCTTTCAACAAACAGTGAATTCTATAGAAGGAGAATATCTTATTTTTTAGTTTTTGTAGTAGGTTCTGTTTATTAAAGAACACAACTTCGTTTTAGTAGTTTATTTTTTCATGCACCCTCTCCCTAGAATTTAACTGATGTTAAGATGGGAAGGGAAAACCATGTGCGTAGTGTGTGTCGTCCTGTTCTGTGAAAGGACACTCCCACTGTTAGTGGCAGGCCCCACCACAGCACCCAGCATTGTGCTCCAATTCCAAACGCTTGAATGCTAGACTTTTTCTTAAGACAAAAACAGAGGTGTTCTTTCTCCAAGGAGAGCACGGTAATTACAGTCTCACCTAAGTCCTCAGCATTTCCTCACTTAGCGTTTCAGGAAGTATGAATAGACCACCTCAGAAACCTGGGAATCAATGGGATTTGGGCAATTCCCTCTTCCATCTCAGGCAGGCGCTGTCTCTGGGTGGCTCTGCTCCCAGTCAGGGCACTGGGCTGGGCTGCTGCTCCCCGGGACCCTCCCTGTTCCTGTTCTCTCGAGGTGTAGAGCAGTGCTACTCTGGGCAGGCAGGGCCTTGGGGACTGGTCTGCGGAGGAGCCCACAGACCTCCTGCCCTGCGGTGAGCGTCCCAAGGTGCAGTACCCTAGGCCATCGCCTCCGAGCACCTGCCAGTCACACTACCTGCCCCCAGGGAAGCCGTCCCCGCCAGAAGGCAGTGATCTGTCCCCTGACTACCAGCTGCTTCTGGTTGGAATAAAGCGTGAGTCCTTCTGGCAGATGGTGGTATCTCAGGAAAAGTTAGCGCCTGGTGCTTAAAGCTGGACTCTCTGGAAACGAGGTCTCCCCGTGGAGGTGAAGGTCCAGCCTGGCCCAGTGTCTCCCCAGTTGCTGGTCCAACCCTCTACCCCAAACCCAGGAAATGGCCACTGAAGAGATGTCTCCTGAGCTCCGTAAGGGGCCTGCTCAGGTGCCGTTAGCCACAACACTTGTGCTGCCCTTCTTGCGTGCAGTAGCTCCCCTGTGGGTATCTTGTTTGTCCCATGGCTCCGATTCCTATGTTAGCATTTGGTAATCTCCCAGAGTGACCCTGGATGCTCAGCCTCCAACAGGAGTCCCACTAGCTTTCCAAGGAGGGAAACTTCGTGAACTGGAGAATTTGCTTTTCCTCTTACTGACAGGGAGCAAGACCAAGGGACCCTGGCGTTTGCTAAATCCTGATTCTGTGTTCCTTTCAGTGTAAATGAGGAGTGTGGGTGGTCATTTTACCAGAGCTCTCTGCCTCCACTGATAGGGCAGACGGAGCCAAAGTGCCAAAAACCCTGCTTGCTCACATGATGCTTGGGAGGCCCACACACCACCTGGTCACCAGGTGACCACAGCTCTGTGCTCTATTCTGCTTAAGGTTTTCCTTTGAGCATTGCTAACATTCCACAGGCCAGAGACGATACCTGGAGGCCGCTGATGTTGTGTGGCCTAGGCTCGGGACAGTTCCATTTGTCATCTACGGACACCTACCGTGTGGTCCACGAGGCGTCTTTGCGTCTGTTACGTTGTCTGGCATGAAGTAGGACCAGACTGGGTGGGAAGGTGAGGGTTGGGTAGGACGTCCAAGGAGAATAGGCAGAGGCCAGCAGGGGCTGCAGCCGAGTCTTCCCTGGGTACCCCGAGGACCCCGGTGGGAGGCGGCCCCCTCGGTCCCCTTTCTCAGCGTGTTGCCCTTCATGCAGCAGGGGAGGGGAGAGCATGCGGGTCCCAAGTCATAGCCACAGGAAACACCAGCTCCCTGAGGGGCACCAGGTCTCATCATCTCAGTGTTCCAAAGGGGAACACTCACGGATTCTGGGAACACAGGTGGAGCTGTGAAGGCCATTTGAAGGAGGAAGGATGACCTTCCAATTCCAAACAGTGCAGGTCCCCAACACATGGGAATTCAGAAGAATGAGCAGTGCGGTCGGTTCTGAAGGAAGCTGAGAAGTGGGTGTGCCAGTCGGAAGAAAGCCCTGCTGCTCAGACTAGAGCAGAACACGGGCGAGTCCCCTTGCAGAGCCAAAGCAGGTGTGCAGGCCATTTTGGATCAGATGTCAACTGTGGACTCAGGGAATTAGAGTAGGGCTGTTGAGACAGATGGCGGCTTCGACATTTAAAGAGGTTCCCGGGACATTTCTGTGGGTGGTGGGCACTGAGCGGTGGTACCCCTTGGCATTTCATTCCTTGACCTTCTGTGGCCCGGGGCGACCTTCTGTTTCCTGCTGCCTGACAGAGCAGAGCAGTTATATCTGTCTTGCTTTTTTTTTCTCCCCAAAGTTTTTGAGAGTCGATCAAGATAAAGACAGAGACTGCAGCCTGGACTGTGCGGGCTCTGCTCAGAAACCCCTCTGTGCGTCGGATGGACGGACCTTCTTATCCCGCTGTGAGTTCCAGCGTGCCAAATGCAAAGACCCTCAGCTGGAAATTGCTTACCGGGGAAACTGCAAAGGTAAGCCCCTTGATGGTCCGTGTGTAGACCCATGGAGCTGTCGTTGGAGCACGTGACTGTGTTGCTTACTCTCACATCTGCTAAAAGTTTATACCGAAAGGCTAAAGACTTTCATGTTTATCATTTTTTTTGAGCATGTGAAGGGTGAAGAGTGATTCTGTGAATTTCAAAGTAGAGTCATTTGAAAATAACTTAATGCTTTTCTTCTTAAAGTGTTCTGTGCTGTCATGAAACCAATCTATCCAAGTGTTTTATAGACTTCCCTGATGTCCCTCACCCAAGTTCATTGTTGGGTATTTCACTCTTCTTGGATGCTCTCAGGTGGGTGCTCAATAGCACCTGTGTGGTTCCTGGCAGGTGTTAGTGCTGATTTTACTCCTGTGACATTCACTTTTCTTGACTTGGGATCTCATCTAGATCTAACACTCCTGCCCAGAGCAGCACGTTGAAATGCTGCCCACGTTAATGAAGGGTTTGATGCAGGGAAAGATACTGGTGTTTCAAACACAAACAGAATCGCTGCACAAAGAAATCTGCCTCCTTTTTCTTTTTCTCTGGGAAACAAGACCACACAGGCTCGAGCAGCCTCTGGGTGGTGTTCGGGTCGCTTGGGGATTAGCCCCCAGTCCTCCTAGCTGAATAAAGCTCAGCCAGGGGCATAATGTCAGGCCGTAGTTGACCAGGTTTGGAAAACACTCGCTCCTCCTTTCATAAAGCAGCACACCAGGCCGATGGGTTGGAGCTGCTGTTCCAGACTAAGGCAGAATGTGGCCACCTTCTTTATCCCTGAGAGCCCTCCCTCTGGTCCAGACTCAGAGTAGTGGCTCCCAACAGAGGGTCGGCCAGCATGCCCCCTGGAGCCTGACCTCGGCACAGTGGCGTACCTTCACTCTGTATGCGTTGGTGTGTCCTGTCTGCAGACACTCGATCTGGAGCCTGGACTTCCTCTTAGCATGTGCATGTGGCTCTGCCCATGACTGATGGTTACACATTATCAAGGACATTTTCTGTTGTCATGGTTTGTTCAAAGTTATTCTTTGGGACATGTGGCATTTAAAGGCTACAGAGAGGCTTGATTCATGTAGCTAGGCAGGTAGACCTTCCAGGAAGAGTGCTGGGAAGGTCCTCCTACTCGTGAGGGTGTATGAGAGAATGATACTCCCCAGACCAGAGTCCATGGTAGGTGCTTTTCCTGAAATGTTAACAGACTCGTGTTTTGTCCTCTTGTGCTAAGAGAGCTATGACAATCCAGGCAGAAGCCAATCTGAGGGTCCTATCACCAGGACCAACAGGTGGGGCTGGGAGAGAAGGTGGAGCCAGGTTGTGGCAGACGTGGGTGGATGCAAATCCTGGCTGAGTACCCACACGGCCTTGCCCCTATGCACCTACACTACACCTTCAGCCAGGTGTTCCCAGGCTGCAGATGGACTAGTACCATCAAGGTCAGTCTGAGTTTGCTAAATCAGGATGTGCTTCTGAAGGGAAGAGACCAGCCGCTTTCAAATGGGAACTGTAATCTGGATTCACTCATTAACCTCAATATGCTCTTGGGTTTGCAAAGAAAAAAAATGTAATAAAGAAAGAATTTTATTTATACTTTTAAACAGCATGCTGCAGGGGAAGGTAGGAGAGGCCCAAGACTGGCCATTCTTGAACACCTGGGGACTGACCACACCTGAACACCTGGGGACTGGCCATACCTGAGCACCTGGGGACTGGCCATAACCTGAACACCTGGGGACTGGCCATACCTGAACACCTGGGGACTGACCATACCTGAATACCTGGGGACTGGCCATACCTGAACACCTGGGGACTGGCCATACCTGAGCACCTGGGGACTGACCACACCTGAATACCTG